GCCAAACCAGCCACGGCCAGTTAATGCTTCTTAAGAAAAATATCTAAGAATGTGCACTAGTCTCGTTTGAAAGTTTTAGGCAACACTATCAAACTAAGACATAAAATAATAAGGCTGAATTTTGAATCGTAAGCAAATAATCAAATTAGCATTTGGCAGTAGAGAAAAACCAATCAGCAAAATTGATGATCATATTTACACATTAATTCTATGAACTGTTTCTCTAAATTCTGCTTCGAATTACAAGTCATTATTAGAAACTAATAAACTGAACTGGTCTGGGTTTCTGTATGAAGAGGCTGAACTGACCACCACTCATATTCCAATACCCTTTATTGAAACCATCAGAATAAAGTAACAAGCATTGGAAATGGAAAAATAAACCCAAAGCAAAATTAAAAATTTGACTTTGGGTAGCAAAGAAGGTATGATACTATAGTAAAACTTGAGAATGTTTAAATGAAGATATGCTTTATATCTATAATGAAAATTAGCTAATAGAAATTTCTTGCCCCACTTCTAGGAATATACCCTAAGAAGCCTGAAACACCAATCAGAGAGAATATATGCACCCCTATGTTCATAGCAGCACTATTTACAATAGCTAATATCTGGAAATAGCCCAAGTGTCCATCAGTAGATGAGTGAATAAAAAGTTGTGGTACATGTACACAATGGAGTACTATGCAGCTGTAAGAAAGAAAGATCTCTTATCCTTTGAGATGACATGGAGGGACCTGGAAAGTATCCTAAGCAAAACAAGCCAAGCAGAGAAAGACAAATATCACATGATCTCACTTATTTGTGGAATATAATGAACAAAACAAACTGATGAACAAAATAGACCCAGAGACATAGAAGTAGTGTACAAACTGACAAAACTCAGAAGGGGGAGGGGGGAGGGAAGAGATAAACCACAGAACTTACATGCATGTATGCGTAACCAATGGACATAGACAACAAAGCTGGGGATGGGGTGGGGAGGAGGGTGTCAATGGGGGGAAAAGGAGAAACATCCGTAACAAAAATAAATTAATAAAAAAAAATAAGAAATTTCTTGCACTTTCATTTAACCAACCCAAAATTAGTAAGAACTAATGATATACTTTTCAAGAGGTCAAACCACAAATGTGTAAGTATTGTTTTTAAGATGACCTATTTAAAAGCTATGGAGCTTATTTCATACCTAGTGATAAATCTGCTCTATGCAATATCTGAAAAAAAAAATTTTTTTTATCCTCACCTGAGGACATTTTTGCATTTATCTTCAGATAGAGCGGGAGGGAGAGAGGGAAGAAGAGAGACAGAGAAACATCGATATGAGAGAGACATACTGACTGGTTGCCACCCACACAACCTCAACCGGGGCCGGGGACAAACTGCAACCACGGTACATGCCCTTAGCGGGAACTGAACTCGGGACTCTCTGGTCCACGGGCCAATGCTCTAATCGCTGAACCAAACCAGCGAGGGAACAATATCTGAAAATTTTAACTTGTCTATCTTACTGGGTACCTAAGGAAGCAAACTGAAGAAGTAGAATTTATTTTAGAGAGCTGCTTTCCACAATTAGCACTGCTCCACAGGGCTAATAATAATACAAACACAAATAGTTCTTTAAGAAAGCCTGTGTGTTCCATTTTCATCAGATAAATCCCTTGTGTAATGAGTTACTGACCTATTGTGCAGCTCCACGGAGAATGTTGATCCTATTGCTGAAATCTTATGAGAAACACTAAAGGTACACAGAAATTAAAACTCTTAAATTTTAAAGAGAAAGAAGAAAGTTTTCAAATTCTGAAAATGGTTTTAAAAAGGGCAGCTAAATGAAACATTACACTTCCCTTTTTAAAATGCAAAATTACTAAAATAATTATGGATGTACCCAGAGATATAACTAGAAGGCTAGTTAATGCAAAGTTGCTTAAAATAGTGAACATTTCTCTGGTCAAGTAGCTCAGTTGGTTAGAGTGTCGTCCTGATGTGTCAAGGTTGCTGGTTGAACCCAGGTCAGGGTACATACAAGAATCAACCAATGAATGCATAAATAAGTGGAACAACAAATCGATGTTTGTTTCTCTCTTTCTCTTTAAAAATCAATTTCAAACATTTTAAATAAAATAATGAATACTGGAAACAAACTGTCTAACAATAGGGGATTGGTTAAATCGAGATGCAGACATATAACAGAAAACTACAAATGATGCTGTATGAGTATTCTAGTGATATAAAGATGTCCGTATTTTGGTGGGAAAAAAGTAAGTTACAAAATAGTATGTAGAGAATAACTTTGTAGCTGTACAGCTTCGGGAAAGTTACTTAATTTCTCTAAATCAGTTTTCTCCTCAATGAAAAGGAGATAATCATAGTGCCTGCCTCATAGGGTAAGAGTGAGGATTACAGGAGATTCTGTATATCAAGCAACAGGCACATGCCTACTAGCAGCAAACTCAATACATGCTAAGTCTTTGTGTATATGTTCATTGGGTAAAAAAGAATTTGAGGATATAGCGGTAAGTGATTTTTTGAGTGGTGGCTGATTTGTTTAACCTGTACTTTTAAACTTCTATAAGTATCATACTACTTATAATATAGGAAACTATTAATAAATTGGAAGATTTACACACAGTGTAAATTTACACACAGTGATTAGTCTTCTAAAAATTTCCCATAGTGCTTTGCTCACAATAAAGGAATCTTGGTTGAGCTTCAGATTCATTTAAACAAGTTTGCCCTAGAATTTTTAAAATTATTTAACTGAGGGGCTAAACTTGTTTATAATATATTGGGTAAAACAAAGCATACTTCCATTGTTCAGCCTCATAACAATTTAAGAGCCCAACTCCAGACCCAGTAGAATGCCACCGGAACTTGCATTATCAGAAAGCCTAAGAGAGCCTAATCACCTCTCATTTCCTCCCAACTCCCAGCCCTGCTCCACCTTTTTGACACTTTCTTTTCCTTTCCATAATCAAAGCCTAAAGTTTCTCTCTAGTGTGCTGTAAACCTCAAGGGCAGTAAGTGTTTCCTTCATCTTAGCATCGATAGCACCTAGCATAGTGACTGGAATAGTAGTTGCTCACTAAATGTTCACCAACTGAATGAACTGAATAAATGTCTGACAGCAGTAGTTCAGGATAGAAGCTTCAAATCCTCCGTAAGAGAAGTGGATAAAGGTAGACAGGCTACCTTTAGTCTGAAACTGTCTAGAATTCTTAGTAATTGTTCCTTAAAAAAAGAAAAGAAAGAAAACATCTCACTTCAAAGTATCACTTCTTTAAAAAGAAAAGTTCTTACTTGTATTCCATTGTCTATTTTAATAGATATATGATTATTTCCATTTTTTTCCCTATATATTATTTTTCAAGTCCCACAAGAATTGCAGAGAGTTTAAGTAACTGGCTCAAAGTAACTCATCTAGTAAGTTACCACCCAGACAGCCTCCGGTCTTCTGATGCCACTGCTCCAGACCGCTCTACAAGGGCCCTGTGGAAAAACACCCATGACCTTTGACCCTAAACTCTGTTGTAGATATGGGAAGAACAAATGTTTTCAGTAACACCTGAACAAATGCTTCTGTTTCTTCCAAATATTTCCTAGGGCTTTTATGAGATTCAGGGAAAGAGAAACTGAGGACAGGAGGTAGCAATACAAAGGTGTCCAAGTGTTTCCCTCCAGGTTCATATGTCAACCAAATTAAATATTAACTCATAAAAAAACACTTCCACCAGAAGACTACTGTGAAGTAAGACTATCATCAAACCAAGGGAAGGGTAACAAAAAGGAAATTTTGCACAGCTTATTTAAAAAAAAAAGTTAAGGATAAAGTTAAACAGTTTTCCACACATTCAGTCTTCCTCTAAATTGCGGGTTTTCACTTTCAGCCACTGCTCTGACTTTTTAAAAAACACTGAATAGCAATTCCCTCAACATGAGGTGAGAACCGAATACCTTTCAGGTATACACACTGAAATGTTTACCTTCCTGGTATACATACTTGGAATGAAGCCATCACATCTCATTCCAAGGACCTTGCTAAAGGATTTCACATGCAAAACCTCAGTAGAAAAATTTTATAAGTAGAAAAATTTGTAGAAATTAATTGGTTATTACCTGAGCCAGCCGGAACACCCTATTATTTATATATAAACAGTTGCAATTTCCTGGGGTCTGCTTTGTGCCAGACATTATAGCTCTTTTGCACTCTAATCCTCATATTTCTGAAGTCGTTAGAGTCCCATTTTACGAAATCAGAGTATTTAATGTAACTGAGAACCTGCCCATTAACAGATGGGAGGAGGGGTGAGCCAAAGATTTGAAAAGTTAAGTTTAAATTCAAAATTCACACCTGACCTAGAGAGACTGAACAGATCGCTTCGAAAATTTAAAATACATATCAAAATGATTTTAAGGTCATATCAGAGCAGGCAAGATGAAATAGAAGACTGACAAAGATCGATGAATGAAAGATTACAGGGAGTTGTTTCAAGACGTAGTTGCGGGTTATTAACAAGCATTCATATCTCAGAAAGATAGGCAGGCTCCTATGTGCACTGAGAAACCAAGTCTTTCCCTAAGGGGACGGCCAAACGTTGAAAGGCTTCAGTGTGGGCTGCCCAGAGCTGGATTATTACTGTTCACACATCATCAGCAAGTGCCTCTCAAAAAGAAAAAGACTCAGTCCCTCCTCCGCCGCCTGAATTCAGCCTTGACCTCCGGAGTGGCCCCGGGCAACCTATGGTTCAAAGTGTCCCTTCAACGCCAGGACCGAGTTACCCGACATGGTTGCAAATGAATGAGCTGAATGCCCAAAGCAAAGAGACTTAAGCCACACGTCCATCCTCCATCTGGCAAAATCAAGGAGGGATGCCCCGGACTCGGTGCGTGGGGCCGAGTTAGCGCCACGTCCCTGCCGGTAGCGCACCTTCCCCTCCCCGAGCTTCGCAGGACGCGGCTGCCTCCCATCCTCCTCCCCAGCCCGCCGGCCCGGCGCTCCTTACCTGCTCCCCGCCGAAGGCACGAGCGGCGCGGGCGACCTGCTAGCGGACAGAGCCCTGCCGCAGCCACCACCCCCGGCCGAAGCCGCTAGAAAGTTTGCTCCGGGTCTCGCCCTCTCGCGCCGCGGCCCCGCGAGGCAAGCCGCTCTCGGGGTGCCTCCCACGGCCGCCGCCCCAGAGGCCGCTCTCGGCGGCGCTGCAGCAACAGCCGGGCCGGGCGGCTCCGTGCGCGCCGCGGGCGGGGTATCCCCGCCCCACTCGCCGCCGCACGGCGCTGGGTGTTTACCGCGGCCGGCCCGCTCTCCCGCCCGCCCGCCGCCTCGCGCGCTCCTGACATCATTCATTCTCTCACACCCACGCCCGCCCACTCCATTTCCAAACAGTGACTCACCGCCCGGCCACTGGTGACAGCGCTCGCCCCCGCCGCCGTGGCTGTCCCCGCGCACAGCGGAGCACAGCGGAGCTCCACAAACCCCTGCGACTTCTTAGGAAGAAAACCCGCCGCCTCTCCCCTTTCCCAGCTATTAAAGGTGCAGGGAAGGAGGGGCTTGGCTGGGAGAGCCCATTGGCTCCCGGGGAGGCTGAGCGCCCGGCGGACCTCCCTGACCAGTGACTGCGATCAATCTGGGAAAGTTGTTTGTTTAGGTGTCACTCCCAGTAACTTTCAAGGGTGGGGCTGGGAGGGGCTTCCCCCGCCCCTGCACCTCGCCTGATTCAGGCGCTGCTTCCCGACTGCGAAGTGAGTGGGCTCGGGGCAGCAGCGGTTATTCAAAGGGTGTTGCCGGGGCCTAGGTGGGTGTCCCCACCTCGCAGTGTTGCCTGGCAGGGTTAGTCATCAGTTCGCACAGTGGCTACTCCAGGTGCGAGCTGGAAGGGTACTCCAAGTTAATGTGGTTAATAATACTTTCCCTTCAGTGACTAACCGCCGTGCCATTTGTTCTGTTCATTGATTCACTTCTCGTTAAGGATAAGAAACGGTAACCAAAATAAACAGTGAAAGTCTCTTTGCTCCACAACGCTGCACTTGCCCGGCAGCTTTTGAGGCACAAGGCAGTCATGTGTGGTTTCCTTGATGAGCTCTGCGACTCTGTCTTCGGAAGGGGTGTTGCCTTCTTAAAAATGGTCAAGGCTCTACATTTCTTGGTGTTGCTATTTGTACACCTGCTGGGCAGTTTTCAAAATAAAGGATGGCAGCCTCGGAAATTATAACTAGGATGAATCAGAGGGAATTTAGCCAAATCTTTATTGAATTTAATTGACAGAAATGTTTTCTGTTAATTTCTACCTGGGGACAGGGTAATTATGTTTAGGATTTACACTGGGTGCCTAGTGCAGAAATAGTGTGGGTAAACAATCATTTGTCTATGGTAATTAAACATAATGGTAGCAGAAAAAAAACAGGGCAGTCCCAAAACAGACAACTGTGAGCTGTTACTAGAGAAGTCTCCTCCAAATGAAAATACTGGTGAAATTAACCAAAGGTTCCACATCGTTGTTGTGAAAATACACTCAGTAGAGAACACCAACAATTGATATTTATTTTCCTTTGGTCTATTTTTTCTTTTCAATAGGAGTTCATTTTTAATTTTACAAAGCTCAGGCATTTTGCCCAGAAGGCAACAGCAAATGGATTGGTTTGTTAGGATGCAGTCAAAATAAATGGAAATTCAAACCAACAGTTCTTACAATCACAGATCTAATCAGAAGCTTGGGTGTTCTGTCTGTTTGTATGGAGGAGCTTGATTCAAATGTGCAGCCACAAGAAAATTTGGGTGAATATCCCACATGTCCTACTTTATGGCCCACGTATTTGAACATTATGGAAATATGTGTAAATAAGATTTTCTACAGATCTTAAAAAATTATGTTATGGGCTTTTGGGCCTTAGTACATGGATGAAGTAAAAAAGATCAAAACAGAACCTGCCATCCTGCCTGCATTACTGCATGATACAAATCCTGCAGCTCTCTCTAGGCAAGTTTCTGTTTGTTTGGGGGCTTTATTGGGTAATTTTGAATTTGTGGTTACTGTTGGGCCTCAGTTTAAATACTGTGAAATAAATAATTAGGTCATTTTATTATACCACTTAAATATCCTCCAATAAACATAAGGCTATAATTGTGATTGAGTTGCGTGAAGTTTTTTCCGTTCTACTCATTGTCAACATACAAGAAAGCAAATTACTCATCTTAATTTCTGTTGCGAGAAATAGTGACTTGTCCATTGCAGAGAGGGGTGATTTCTTTCTTTTCTTTTCTTTTTAACTTTACCTTTTTGTTCTTACAATGCATCAATGTTTACTAAGTCCCTGATTAGTCACCTCCCGGAAATAATAGTGCTGAATGCTCTAAGGGAGAGAAAGGGTTGACAGGTATGTTCTTGTCATTTTCCCACCTAAACCATTGCATACAGTAAATCAAGTTTTACAGATCTTCATGGGTTTGATTAAAACATGCTAACTTAGTAAAACATATATATCTGTTGTCTCTATCTCCTTTTATAATAACTCCTACTCTGGATGTACTTAAGTCATTTACTCAACCTACAGATGTTTACTGAGTTCCCATTTTGTGCCCACATTGTTTAAGAATCGCTATGGGCATCTTCTAAACATATGTCTCAGCAATGAGAAAGTTTGCTTTTTTAAAAAAATTGTATATGGATTTTATTTTAACATTATTTATAATTTCCCCAGGGTCCAGCATGGTACCTGGCATGTAATTACTAAGTGAGTGAAATAAACAAATGAACAAGCCTTAAAGAATAAACCAATGGTGAAGTAACTCCATGTTATGGGATTCTATGTAGGCAATTAAAAAAAAAAAAAAACATAATTCCATAGACTCTTAGAAAATTGTCCTTGTTAAGTGAAAAATATAAGTAGAGAGAACATACATGTGCACATGTACACACACACCATTTTTTGTGACACAAATACCACACTCCTGTGCAAAATCCATTACCAAACTATATATTACCTCTTGCCATGAAATATAGAAGGGAGAGTGTGAGGGGGAAACCTGTATTTCTTGACTATTTTTCAATGAGTGTGCATTGCTTTTGTAATTAAAAACAACTCAAGCAATATTGGAACTTAGAAGGCAGTAAAACAATGAATTATGACATAAGGGAGCTTACTGTCTAGTTGGAGAGACAATAACACCCAGAACAACTATAGATTAAAGCAGCTCACCTTGTGAATTTGGGGTTTCAGATATTCACCCTGTGCCTGGCCCATCCAAAGAGCAAATTTATACCATTTTTTTATTGAGTACTTCCTGTATGCCAGGGACTATGCAAATTGATTTCCCTATATTATCTCATTTAATCCTTTCAGCAACTTTCTGGGGTTAGGTATTCATAATGTCCTCCTCTACATATGAGATAACCAAAGATAAGAGACTGCCATTTTTCTGAGATCACACTCAAGTAAGTGCCATTTTCCCGAGATCACACTCAAGTAAGTGCCATCATCGAGGCATCAAACCAAGACTTTCTGGCCCCAAAGTTCATATTTTTGATGATCATTCCTTAAATTGTATCATCTACGCTGATGTAACAGTAATCTCATTTTTTTTGGTTTTAAAAGTTATTATTTATCAAAATATAAGGTAATATTGCCATATTATAGAGCAAATGGAAAATAAAAAAATAAATAGAACGACTAACATTTTATTGTTTGATATGCATTCTTTAGATTTCTATTGTTTAAGATAATTTTAACATCATACATGATTCTTATTCTGATGTTTAAAAAAATGTTTTTATTGATTTTTAGAGAGAGACAGGAAGGAGTGGGGGAGAGAGAGAAACATCAATTTGTTGTTCCACTTATTTATGCATTCATTGGTCACTTCCTGCATGTGCCCTGACCAGGGATTGAACCCACAACCGTGGCATGTTGGGATGATGTTCTAATCAACTGAGCTACCTGGCCAGGGCTTCTGATTTTTTTTTAACTTAGCACTATATCATGTACTCTTTGCTCATAATTATATTAGCGGCAGCATGATGTGCCAAAAAATGTATGTGCTTGGGCAACTGTGTATATATTGAACATAATTTCAAATCTAATAGTCCAACTATTAATTTGGGAGCAGTTTAGTATAATATTTTTACATTTTTTATTAATGAAAACTCTTGGACTATCTGTTTTATTGTTAATACTACTATACTACGTATATACAGATGTTCTAATTACATTAAAGTGTATTCAGGAAAGTAAGTGAAAGGTACTATGTGCCACATTTCATTAGTGTGATTGTCCATACTTCTGGATTGGAGCAGGAGGAAGGTGTAGGGAGAGCAGGAGGTAGCTTTGCAGCAGCACAGGTGTAAAGCAGCAGTGTCCAGGTTAGGAGAGTGGTGATGGGAATGTAGAAAGCAGAGTGGATTTCAAGTATCATGGACAGAATTTACAGATCAATTAGATATGGGAATGGAGCCAAATAATTCCTACTTTTTTTGTTTGTTTACTTCAGCACTTGGATGGATGGTGGTGCCTTTCCCTAAGCCACATAGGGAATGCCTAGGTAGGGACTGTCAGCTGTGAGCCACCTTAGCAGCTAGAGGCATCTGTCCCAGAGCCAGCAACAAACTGTGCTGAACCCTTCTCACACAGAGTCTGTCAGACCTCCTCTGCCCCATCTCTGCCTCAGCTGAAGAAAGTTCTGTTTTTAATGGCTCATGTGATTAAATCGGGCCCACCTGGGTATTCCAGTCCGCTCTTTCTAGATTAAGGTCCACAATCTTAATTATATCTGCAACGTCCTTTTGTAATGTAACATACAGTTTCTAGGGGTTAGGGTATGGACATCTTTGGGGGCCCATTCTGCTGACCCCAAGGGGACATCATCAACTGAGAATAAAAAAGTGGCCTTGGCCGGTTTGGCTCAGCCGTTAGAGTGTCAGCCTGCGGTCCAGAGAGACCCGGGTTCGGTTCCCGCTAAGGGCACGTACCTCGGTTGCAGTTTGTCCCCGGCCCTGGTTGGGTCATGTGGGTGGCAGCCACTCGATGTGTCCCTTTCACGTCGATGTTTCTCTCTCTCTCTCTCTCCCTCCCACTCTATCTGAA